ATGGCGTAAAACTCAATTACACGTTTATTGTGACATCTACAAAGAAAGACAACGTAACTATCACACAACACTAAAACATGCAAGAGAGGCTTTCTTTGCAGATGTCATAAACAAAAACCTTAACAATGCTCCAGCTTTATTTGCTACTGTTGACAGGCTCACAAACCCTCCTATGACGTTACCACCTGAACTTCAATCTAATGCCGCCTGCAACAAGTTCTCCAGTTTCTTTTCAGAGAAAATTCAAAAGATCAGAGGATTAATCTGCACATCCACTCCAAAGCCAGTACCAATGCTGTGCCCAAACAAAACAAATGCAGGAAAAATGACCCAATTTATAAAACCCTAGAAGAAATTATAAGTCAATTAAACTCCAGTTCCTGCTGTTCCACACATTTCTTTAAGAAAGTCCTGCCTGGCATTGCTAATGATCTGATCCAAATAGTAACTCATCACTCTCTTCAGGTGTTTCCCCCAGGCTTTGAAAACAGCAGTTATCAAACCACTGATAAAAAAGAACAATCTGGACAAACACTGGGTGCCTTTAAATCTCAACTTAAAACCCACCTGTTTAGAGTTGCTTATGGCTAAATTAGGGTTAGAGTCCTTGTCAAACGGTGTTTTGACTAAAGTCCAAAGGGTTGGAGTCCCAGTTGACGGCGTCTCAACTAAAGTTCTACAGTTTTTTATTTCTCTTTCTCACTGTTTACGTTTTAATGATGTTTTTTAAATCTCTTTCTCACTGTTTATTACATGCTGTTTTTATTTTAATTATGTAAAGCACTTTGAAATGCCTTGCTGCTGAAATGTGCTATACAAATAAAATTTGATTGATTGATTGATTGATTGGCTACATGTCTGTCTTAGTTTGCAGATAAAAGCTACATTAGCTATGCTAATTTTGCTAGTTCAGAAGTAAATACTACTTCTGAACTAGTAGAACAGATAAATGTGTGGATGTGCCAAAAACATCCACACCCACCTTTGTGAATCTACCCAAAAAGGTGGGTAGATTCTTCAAAAGTTGTAATCGAGTAATAGTTGTAATGGTAACTCAATTTCAGAAGAAATAGTAGTGAAGGGAATTGGTGGATGTAAACAGTGAAGACACAAAACAAGATTGAGGCTCACCTGCAAACTTCAATGGGATAGCCATAGGGCATTGGATCCATAGTTTCTTTGCCAAGCTCAAAGTGACTGACATTAAAGTAGGACAGCGTATGGTTGACAAATCCATGCAAGGAGCCATCAGGGCTGTACATATACTGGTAGACCATCCGAGGAATGAAGTCTGATGTGAAGGAGATGACAAATGCCTAGCAGAGGGGTGGAAGATCAAAATTTAGTCAGACCAAGGGAATTTAATGTAACACTGGCCTAAGCTACTTCAATTACCCACAGGCTATCAAATAAACTTCCATTCGATTCAATTCAGTTTTATTTATATCATCCCAATTCACAACAAATGCCTTGAGACATTTTACAGAAAATCATGTCTATTCATCATACATAGATTCCAATTTATTCTAGTTATCAAACAGTACAGTAAGCTCAATTAATAAAAAAAAGTAATTGAAAAAGTTTCAAACAAAACCCAGCAGGTTCATTGAGTCAGTGACTTGCAGCATTCACTCCTCCTGGACAAGGCTGTAGCAACAGCAGACAATCACTTGATTTGTGTTGTTGACTTTAGAGCAATTGCTCATGCATGTAGCGACAGTAAAGAAGAAAACCTCCATCAGCCATGACCAACTGAGAGTAATAAATAATAAAGTAGTAAAATAAATAAATGTAAAGTAAATGTTACTTGCAAGCCATGTAAACACACTGGAAACTAGAACTGAAGTTACTCAATAGGATGCATTTCATTCTGCAAATCATACAATGACCCTGAGTCACTCCAGCATCATCAGACAATAGCTTGTGACACACAACAGGATGCTGATGGAGTGACAGAAACTGGCCTCATCCTCTTCTGATTCTTTCTGTTTTGCTTTCTAACTTCTCCGCCACAGTCTCACTTCTCTTCCTCTTTTTCTTTCTGGCTGTTGATCCTGTCCAAATCCTTGACCTTCCATCACCAGAAATGTAACATTAGTTGTTCTTCATGTATACTTGGCATTTGATGGTTTATGAGATGCACCTTCAATCTATTTCAGAAAACTGGATTGTCATTGGTTGATCTCATGCTTCACACATTTACCTCTGTTAGAGAAACTCAAAATTCACCTCGGAGCAATATACCAGTTCAGGACAGATTTAGAAAAAAAAGTCTAAAAGAAATATCAAAATATATGACTAACATATTATGACAACTTGTAGTTGAGGTCAAGACTATTCAACAGAGACCCATACAATACGTTTTGATCAACATGACAAAAGCAGCTGAAAGTGTAGGAAAAGGCAGAGAATACACACAGTAACTTAGATGATGTACAAAAGCATTTGCAAGTTGCTTTTCCTGCAGTTTCCTGCTCCTGTCAGAGCAGGAAACTGCTTCTTGGTGTGCACAAATGACAGTTTGATTTGGAGACTGAATAAGTAGTTTTGAGAATTTTAATTGTGTTCTGAGAAATGCACCAAAGAGATTGAGAAAACCAGTAATAAAGAACTGAATATTTAACTTTACTAATTTTTTAATGGCTGCATAAAAACAGTGATTTGAGAAATCTAGAGTAATAAACATTATTCAGAGTGGCGCGCGCATGTTCCTTGGACAGGTGGATGGATTGACTAATCAGCAGGGGTTACATACTGCAGTTTGGAGGCAGGCCTGCGCCTTTCAAGGGGATCGTGGAGATGCTTCTACCACCTCCAGAGCAGAACTCCGCTCTCATGTCAGAGCTGCAGGAACTGGTTGCGAAAGGTGCTATTTCCACGGTTCCCCAGGGAGAAGAAAATGCAGAGTTTTTTCTGGTCCCCAAAAACAGGAGGAATGAGACCTCCTATTGGAAATTCTCGATCTGTCCCTGTTCAACAACTCGATTGTGGAGAGGTCATTCCACATGCTGACAATCAGACAGCTGGTGGAAAACGTTCACATCCATAGATTTTAAAGAGGCATACTTCCACGTCTCCATCATCCTGAAACAGCGGAAGTATCTGCCTTTCTCCTTTCAAGGGACCCAATATCAGTACAACCGTCTGCCATTCGGTTATTCTCTCACCCCGCGGACCTTTTCCAAATGTGTGGAAACAGCACTGCACATGGCAGGGATGAGAGGCATCTTCTATCTGGACGACCTGCTTTTACTGGCTCGGACCAGAGAGGAACACATCACATCTGCTGAGTCTGGGATTTTTCATTATCTGGGAAAATAGTTTGGCTATTTCGTCCCAGATGATCCTTTATCTGGGAACGGAGCTGAACTCAGTTATGATGAGAGCCCGATTAGCACAGCCAAGAATCGAGGCTCTGTCAGTGCAGCTCCGCTGTGTCAGGCCTTGCAGCGTAGTGACAGCTCTGTCAGTCACGCGGCTGCTGGGAATGCAGCAGGGTCGAGCTCAAATCATGACACCGGCAGCTACCGCGGCACTTCCGGTGGCAGGTTTCATTAGGTGTCACGGGTGCCACTGGCTTCGGCACTAGGTGTTGTTGAGAATTTGTTTTGGGTTTAATCAGAATTATTATTTGGGATATTATAATTTAATATATTTATTTAATAGATTTAGTTAGAATTTGATAGTATCTGGTTCAAAATGGACTATTTGTGAACCTTTAACAGAATGGACTACGTATCCCATGATGCTTTAGAACTACTAGAAGAAGAACTTGAAGTCAGACGAAGAAGAAGGAATTTTGTATGTTTTTTTCGCAGAAAGAGCTACGTTAACTGAGTTCCTACACTCTGTCGTAGATCATCGTGTATGATTCGTTCATCCTATTTATTCACTGAAGTTCATCTGAATGATTCAGACGACTCCTTTCATCTTTGAATTATTTGAATACACAACAGGTGTCACAGGTGCCATTGGCTTCGGCACTTTTGCAACAGCTGATTCTAGCTTCCACTAGAGCTGCCATTAGGTGTCCAGGATGTTTCAGAGCTGTCACAACTGCTGCCGCTGTTATGGAGGATGGCAATGCCAGTTTTTGTAATACGTGTTATCTATATTGCCTGTTTATACTTTTTTTTTTCAATGGTACTTGTATTGTTTAATTATCCATTTAACACCTTATTTTTGACGGAATTTAATTGATTTAATTTAATTTAATTGTCATGGAGAAATAATATTTTTCTTTGATTCTGGTGTAGTAAATTCACACGTTGACTAAACATGAATCTTACATGAGATTTCAAAAGATTTCAGGGAGGGGTTTTTATAATACACAAAGATTTTCGTTCTTGACTATGGAAAGCTTAAAATGTAGGTTATTGCTGTTTAAAGTATTTACTTTGTCAAAGTATTTTATTTGTCAATAAATATTGACAAATCAATTACTATGCATATACTTTGTGACATAAACTTTAAAAAATGTTTAAACATATCTACCAAAGAAAATAACATGCAAACTGCACAATTTTCATTTAAAAAAGCATTTGCATCTTAAGTATAACCCAAAGTAATTTTTGTTTCCCAAAATATATAACACCCTTGTTCTTAATGCTGCTTAAGATTCACACATTGTCAAAGTTTTTGAGGTGTACATACCTTGTGTTTTGACTTACTTCAATGTAAAAAAATTTAAGGTGGTTTGACTTGAAAGTGAAAGTCGTCCTGCTGCCTTGAAAATGCTATTGAAATGCATTTTGTTGTTCTGATTTTATTAAGAAAATTTTCATGACAATGTCCAGAACCAGAAACAAACAAGAAGAAACCTTCATTTATGCAGCAAAATCTGGAATAAACTTCCCAATTAATGAAAAATAGCAGATATTAAGTATATTAAATTATAACAAGTAATAACTAGAGGTGTGCAGATCGATCGGCCACCGATCATAATCGACTGATTTCCGTGAAAAAGTGTATGATTGGTGATCGCCGATCACGGTCTCTTGTTGCCTATCACACAAACCGATCACCTGCATCTCATTTCGCAGCCTGCCTGTGCAGCTGGTCTCCTCTTTCTTTCACACTGCGCAAACGCGCAGCAACAAATCCTAAGCGATGTCGTGTGGAACTATAACGCACTGAGTGAATGGGGAAGTTTGCGTGTTGCGGCGGAAAATTACCTCGGGAGTGAAGCACGTCAAAATGCACCCAAGTAAAAAAAAAGTATGCTTTAGTATACTAAATTTTAACATACTTTAGCATACTTTGATTGATGTACTTAAACTGTACTATTTTGGAACAACTAATTTTATACCTGGTATACTTTAGTAGTACTTAAGTTGTATAAAATTACAACTTTTAGTATACTTAGTATACTTCACCATACTTTTTTGGAACAACTTCAAGTTGTACTTGGTATACTT